TCCTTTGAATTTGAAGTTCTCCCAATCCTTTCAAAATTTAATCACTTTCTTTCACCTCTGGTAGTTTCCAGAAACTGACCGTGGTTGGTCTCCTGGGGGAGGGAAAAAGACCCAAGTGCCATCAGTATGTGTGGCACGTGTTGTGAGCTGCCTTTGGAGTGAAAAACCTGTCAGCGCCTTCTAGCTTCAGCCTGGTCCCATAGCTCAGTGGTTAGAGCATTGCTCATGACAAGCAGGGTCCCGGGTTCGAGTCCTGGTGGGTCTGGCGTTTTTTCTCTTTTCAGGCAGTTCACTTCCCCGACAGATCCTTTGAATTTGAAGTTCTCCCAATCCTTTCAAAATTATTATTATTATTATTATTATTATTATTATTACGAAGTAGTGGTTGCGACTTCGGCGATGACTTGTAAGAAAGGGTTTGCTCCCCACACCGGAGCTCGCGCTATTCCGCCGACTTTACTTGACACTTGACTGACTCACGACTGCCATCCAGAGCACACGAGAAGTCCATCGAACCTTCGACTTGGCAAACCTGCAAGAAAGCACCGCTCCCTGCTCAATGCACAGTGTTTCGGGGAATTCACCCCTCATCAGTTGAGCTTGAGTAGGCTGAGGAAGTGTCAAGTAAAGTCGGCGGAATAGCGCGAGCTCCGGTGTGGGGAGTAAACCCTTTATTATTATAATATTTTTTAAATATGACCATACAGGACTCTAGAAGTAACAATAAATAAATAAATACAGTATACTAGTAATCAATCAACAAAAAATAATCAATAAATGCAAAGAAACCGCTGGAAACAGTACGAGTAGTAGTCTCCGGCCAAGATACCAGAAACCGTATCAAACTCAGCACGGGGTTCGAGGTACTACAACGATTACCAAACTAAGTCAAGAATTGACCATTACATGCTGCATTCTGCCACTGCTAACGTGATCGAAGGGCAGCCGTTGATTCTTGGCGCTTTGTGCCGATGACCTCTCAGGGCTGTGACTGCGGCATTGACCAGTGCAAAAGACCTCTCATTATAATTATTATCGACTTGAAGCAAACCTAGAACCAGTGAGTGAAATAATAACTTGGTGCTAAAAATTATTAATAAAAGAAAATGATAACACCCGAAAGCGCTAAATACAAAATTAAGAAAAAAGAAAATCATAAACCACGTAGCACTAAAAGTACACAAAATTATATTATAAATAATGAGAAAAGCCGAATGAAAAACCAAGAAATCACAACAAACAAAGCAAAATGATAATACATTGAAGCTCATTATCATGGGAACACCATAACCAAAGAAACTGTGCATGTACATGTATAATGTACACAGTTTATGGCACCAGGCCGGGCACATTCAGCAGCCTCTAGCACAACCGAACCAAACAGATGTTGAGGCGGGTTCCGACGGTGACCACGTAAACTGGCAACCATTGCCCGAACAAGGCAAAAAGAGATCTTCGCCCGTACGAAAGCCATCATGACCGGGAAAGGCTCACGACGCTTCTCACTCAGCTTACTGGTAATCCTGGCGAAGAGGGCCGAAGCAGCTTTCCCCTGCCCACCAGTTGTTGCGAAGAGTACGGAACAAACGAGGAATGCTCCACCTCCAGGACTCGCCGTTCATACTTGCGCCGCTTCTCCTGCTGGTGCTTTCTGTAGACAGACGGGATGGTAAGGTTTCGGTCGGAGGGGACAAAAGGATTAAACACTCGAACATCAAACATTTCCCTCTCTAACCTACTCACATACACTCCACGTGATGCCACATCCAGACGAGCATGAGCCTCCGTGTTGGCCGACCGGAGAGGGAATGTTTCACCAGAGAGGGGTTCCACCTCTGGCTCCACGCTGACGTCATGCGCAACCTCACCCAGCAGATTAGGGGTGAGATAGGCTCGGGGAGCCATAATGGCTTGTTTGAGCTCCAGTTCCACCTTTTTGACTATCCTCCTACCTTTCCAGCTTCTCCATGGCTGCGGTGAGCTCCTCCAGATTCTTCTTGGCACCATCCAACATTGCACCAATAGAGTTTGACTCCTCCCGATGTAGTTTTGTGACTCGATGCTAAGTCCCCGGCGCTGCCTGGCATGAAGCCAATGCCTCGTGTAGGACAGAATTCGCATTTCGAAACTCTACCAATTGCTTGTCCTTCATCTGCAGAATCTCAATTGTGACTTGACAACTAGGACAACCAAGCGGGGGGTGATGACCAGAATGACTGGCATGACTGGGATGAATACCGGGATTGAGTGGGATGTCTGGGATGACTCGAATAACCGGGATTAGTAGGATGAGTATGGTGACGTGTGTGCAGGCATGGTGGGCTGCTTCATCATGGCAAGATTGTGACGTCATCATGATGTACAAATAACCTACGTGGAGATAATAATTTTAATATAGCTATGAATAGGATGAAGGCCGCAGACATCACGCAACTACGTTACTTGTTTGACATGTATTACTGTGTATTTTATAACAAAAATATTATTGAAAACCCAGAATCGATTTTCTCGTTCCTATCATCAGTGGGAAAAAACGGAACTAAGGATACAACCAAAGAAACTGAAGTTAAGTACTGAAAATAGAAAAGGACATAAGCATGTTTTCAAGAGTCCATAAACATGATAAACAAGAGTATGCAACTGTGATCTCTTTTCTATGGGCCAGATGCGCGGCGCGCTGCCTTCATTACATCATTCAGCTGCAGTCCGCGCACTGCGGACAATCAAACACCACACTTTCCCTCTGGTTTGAAATGAACTTTCGTACGGAACTGGAGTTCACGCGCCAGAATTTAGAGATCGCGTAGGTACTGGAACGAATCAAACAAAAACGGATGGGCTCGTACGAGAAATTGTGAGTTTGAATGCATGCTTTCAGAGCGTGATCAAGGCAAGTTACGTAATGAAGGCAGCGCGCCGCGCACTAGGCCTTGACGGATTATGCTAGCATAATTTTTCGCATAATTCCTACCAAAATCGAATAACTGCATAATTCGAGGCAAATTGCATACAAATCGCATAAATTGGAATAATCCGACTGTTCGCATCAAATTCCATACAGTTGTACATGTTTTACAAGTACAAGTACAAGTAGATGCACCAGGAAGTCGAAGGTTTACGGCTCCCTTGATAACATGTCCAGTCCACTACAATCAGTGACGGTCGTAGCTGGGTCGGACAGTGCGCGTTGTCCAGACCTCGTTGAACTTCTGCTACTACAGTACAACGCCCTCTACAAAAAATTCCCCTGTTATTTTGCACAGAACCATCATATACATTAGCAGCATATGTGAGCATGATGCGGCATAATTATGATAACTTTTAGCATAAAAATAGCATAATTCTGCCATTTTTTCAGCAATGCGAAAAGCATAATTTCACGAAAATATTAGCATAATCTGTCAAGGCCTACCGCGCACTGACCCATAACCACAGTTGCATACTCTTGTTTATGCACTCTTGCTGTTTTGTGTAAGCAGAAAGAGCACGTTGTTGCACTGAAGTTGTATTCGTAGGTTGACACTTCGTTCAGTGCCTTCTCGCCTTTGGTTACGTAATCTTGTTACCTTTTTTGCGTTTCGTGGTTTTATTGCACCTGTATCTTGATGTTATTTCTAACACCTTTCTATTTACAGTACTTAACTTCAGTTTCTTTGGTTGTATCCTTAGTTCCGTTTTTTCCCACTGATGATAGGAACGAGAAAATCGATTCTGGGTTTTCAATAATATTTTTGTTATAAAATACACAGTAATACATGTCAAACAAGTAACGTAGTTGCGTGATGTCTGCGGCCTTCATCCTATTCATCATGATGTCACCGAATTTTGGTTAGTGAAGGGATTTCCACATTACGTTTTGCATCTTTTTGAATCTTGGGTGGAAAATCGCATCGTCCCAGAAAAAGAACATCTTCCAATTTTTGGGGGTATTTTCAGCTATTTTAGGCCTTAAAGCATTTAAAATGGGGTCATTTTGCATCTTTTAAATTTTTTTGGAGACAAAAACATCATTCCCCGAAAAAATCGAGTTTTGCATCCGCATCTTGCCGTTATTTTTTCGCGTAATGTGGAAAAGCCTAAATTTTAGTCTGTGAAAACGGGAACAGCTCGGGAACAGCTGCTCCGATCACCCGTTGGGATGAGTGCATTTTTCGCTACAAATTTTGGAGTAACTGTTAGGGAGGGCCCAAATATGCTCAAAAATTTCGCATATTATGCTTTTCGCATATTGGCCACTTAGGCCGTGATCGTTTGGTCGGATCCAGATCCAGATCCATCGGATCCACTGGATCTGCAATGATCGATTGGTCGAATCCGGATCCAGATCCTTCGGATTTGGATCCGAGCAACCCTGCCCCGGGAGCAGGGTTGACTGGATCCATCGGATCCAAATGTGACCTTTGTGCGTATATGGTGGGTAAAAATCATTTTTATACTCATTGTCGTACGTCTAGTGGACTTTTGTTGACTTTTCGTACGACGCGGGCGATCAGTACGACTTGTGCCTTTTTTGGGTGACCTGTCAGCGCCATTTTTTACTTCGTGAACATGGCAACAGCCAAGGTCCGCAAAAAAGTGTTCGGTTGATTCTGAAGGATCCGACGGATCTGAGATTTGGATCTGGATCTGGATCCGACCAAACGATCATAGCCCTAACTTGCTTCAAAATATGCTTCGAAATCACACAAAATTATTATATAATTATTAAAAGCATGTCCGCGTAGGTGGCGGGTGTGATGTTGCAGGCCTCCTGGTTAATACTATATTATAGTATTGTACTATTATAGTATCTTGTACGATATTTATATGTGTATCTGTTTTGTTCCCTTTCTCTGTGCTTTATGTTCCTGGTTCTTGGTCTTTAGTTTTGTCTTTGTTAGTGCTTTGGTTTGACCAGTTCTGTAATAATAATAATGTCCCAGAACATTACATTGGCGACGAAGATGAACTGGATTTAATAGTTATAGTCATATAGATGACCTGAGTAGGCCTCAGTGACAATGGCGCTCACAGGAGTAGGCCCGGCTTTGGAGCCGTTCGATCTCGAGGGTCCTGCCCATGAAGTTTCGGCAAGATGGCGCAGGTGGAAGAGATCATTCCAGTACTATGTGGATGGGCAGAACATTACATCCGCGAAGAGGCAGAGGAGTCTGTTGCTGTACTTGGCTGGTATGCCAGTACAGGAGAAATTCGAAACGCTAACAGAAGATAAGGACACCGACAATTTATTCGAGCGGGCTGTGAGTGCTTTGGACAAGGCGTTTGAGTTCGTGGCCAACAAGAGGTTCGAACGGTATAAGCTTCGTCAGATGTCACAACGGACTGGTGAAACAGTATCTCAGTTTTCGACCCGTTTGCTTGGGCAAGGCAAATACTGTGACTATGGCACCGACATGGAGGATCATGTATGCGACCAGCTCCTCATAGGGATATCGGACAATCGCCTCAGAAAGAAATTGTTGGAAGTCGACGACCTCACTTTGGCGGTGGCCTTGAAAAAAGGTCGCGAGTATGAAACAACGGAGCAGCACGCACGTGATATGTCAACATCGACAAGTACAAGTGCAAGTCACAGTGCAAGCCATGATGGGCATGGGTCCAGTTCGTACGGTACGGGTGAAGCTGCACCAGGAAGTGTGAATGCTGTGCACGGCGTACCCCAGCAAGAGTGTCACAACTGTGGAAAAGTTGGCCACTTCGCCCGCGACCGGAACTGTCCTGCACGTGGCCAAAGGTGTAGAAAGTGTGGCATAAACGGTCACTTCGCATCCAAATGCAATGGAGGTGACAAACAGCGTACAGGCAACACGCGTCACGCTCCCAAGTCGTCGGGAAAGGCAAGTTCGTACAGAAAAGAAAATCACTCGGCAAATCAAATTCAAGATGTAGACGATTTTGTGTTTGGAGTGCGAGGAAGTAATTATTTGACACAGGCCTCTATCGATGTCAGCCTCAATGGTGTGTCGACGCGAGTGCTAGTCGATTCTGGAGCATCATGCAACTTGTTGGGAGAATCGACTTTGGGCCAGCTGCAATTGCAAGGCCTCGGTGTCACTTTGACGAAGTGCACCAGGAAGCTTTTCGCGTATGGAGCACACCAGCTGAATGTCGTCGGCAAGTTTACTGCAATTTTCCAATGCGGCTCAGAGCTCACTGAGGACGAAGTGATCGTCGTCAGAGGAGATGGAGAGTTCTTGCTGGGACGTAGTACTGCACTCAAGTTGAAGGCCTTGGTGCTACCTGACGTGAATCAAGTTGGCAGCGCCACAGCTAGCCCCAGTACCAACGATGAAATCAAGAATGAGTATCCTGGTGTGTTCAGTGGTGTGGGCAAGTTAATTGGCTACCAAGCACGCCTTCATGTAGACTCTGAAGTTCCACCTGTGGCCCAACGCCAGCGTAGGATACCATATGCGTATGAAACCAAGGTGGATGAAAAACTTCAGGAGTTACAGCAATCAGGAATTATTGAAGAAGCTGTGGGCCCGACGCCGTGGGTAAGCCCAATTGTGATAGCACCAAAGAAGCATGGCGACATCCGTTTGTGCGTGGATTTACGCCGGGTCAATGAAGCCATCGTCCGAGAACGACATCCGATGCCAACAACAGAGGAGTTGCTGCATGAAGTCAATGGCAGCACGGTGTTTTCGAAGATTGACCTGAAGTGGGGATTTCACCAAGTAGAGTTGGAAGAAGAGTCCCGCTACCTGACAACTTTTGCTGCAAATGGGAAGTTGTACCGGTTTCGTCGACTGCCATTTGGTATAAGTTCAGCACCAGAGCTGTACCAGAAGATCATCAGCGATGTGATCTAGGATTTGGCCGGTTGCAGAAACGGAGCTGATGATATCTTGCTACATGCGGACTCACTGAACCAGCATGATGTGAGGGTTCATGCATTGATGAATCGCTTGCAGCAGGTCAACCTCACAGTCAACCCAGCAAAGTGTGAGTTCGCTAAGAGCTCCATTGAGTTCTTCGGCTTGCAGATATCTGACAAGGGCATACAGCCAACTCCGGAAAGGATACGATCCTTGGCGGAAGCATCCAGGCCGAGCAATGCGTCGGAAGTAAGAAGCTTCCTCGGTACAGCCGGTTTCAGTGCAAAATTCATCCCTGATTTTGCTACAGTTGCTGAGCCACTGCGTTGCCTCACGGTCAAGGGAGCTCAGTTCAAGTGGACTACAGAGCAACAGCAAGCGTTCGACCACCTGAAGCGATTACTGGTGTCCAGCTCAACACTGGCATACTATGATCCTGAAGCGCCGATCGAGTTAGTGACGGATGCCAGTCCAGTTGGGCTCGGAGCTGTGCTTGTCCAGAAGCAGGATGGTGTTTGGCGGCCAGTTGCGTATGCGAGCAGATCACTGTCAGCGGTAGAGCGGAGGTACTCGCAGACCGAGCGAGAGGCTCTTGGTATTGTCTGGGCGTGTGAACGATTTCACACCTATCTGCTTGGCAGGGAGTTTACACTCTGCACCGACCATAAGCCGCTGGAAGTGATTTATTCGGCAAGATCCAAGCCCAGTGCCAGGATCGAGAGATGGGTTCTGCGCCTACAGCCGTACAGCTATCGAGTCAAGCACATTCCTGGAAAGACGAACATCGCTGACGCTTTATCTCGCCTGCCCGTTGCAGCGGCGGATCCAGGAATCAGCAGTGATGAAGAGTCGGTTAGACTTATCACTCAGACAGCAGCACCCATCGCTATCGGTATCAGAACGATTGAACGTAGCTCAGCTGAAGATGAAGAGCTATCTGCTGTTCGCAAGTGCCTTCACGACGGATCTTGGGATGGTCTGCCAGCAGCATACCGTCAGGTCCGAGGAGAATTGACTGTTGTTGGCAAGGTGGTGCTCAGAGGTCAACGCATTGTTATCCCTACAGAGTTGCGACACCAGACCGTGCAGTTGGCACATGAGGGCCACCAGGGCATCGTGAAGACGAAAGAGCGTCTACGGTCCAAGGTTTGGTGGCCAGGCATGGACAGCGAGGCCGAGAAGCTCTGCAAGTCGTGTCATGCCTGCCAAGTGGTTGCAGCGCCAGCCAATGCACCGCCAGTCAAGTCCACTCCTCTTCCAGATGCGCCATGGCAGCATTTGGCTGTTGACTTGCTGGGTCCACTACCGTCTGGCGAGCACATTGTGGTGCTTGTAGATTACTACAGTCGATATTTCGAAGTAGATGTGGTCAAGTCAACATCAGCTGAAGCTGTGATTCCGATGATTGAAGCCCAGTTCAGCCGACACGGTATCCCGACGAGTTTGCGTATGGATAATGGCCCACCTTTCAACTCGGAAGGGTTTGCGAAGTTTCTACATGAGTGTGGTGTTCAACAGCTTCGTACTACACCACTGTGGCCGAGAGCTAACGGTGAAGTTGAGCGACAAAATCGATCCCTGATGAAAGTGATCCGTGCTGCATATGCGGAAGGAAAGACGTGGAAGCGGGAGGTTCAACGATTCTTGATGGCATACCGCTCAACGCCACATAGCACCACCGGAGTTGCTCCAGCTGAGTTATTGTTTGGGCGCAAAGTGCACTGCAAGTTACCAGCCCTCGGTGAACCAGCGACAAACGAGGCCGTCAGAGATCGTGACAGCGAGCGTAATCAGAGTATGCGTGACTCTGCAGATGACGCCAACCATGCCACAAGCCAGTCAACGCAGATAGGTGACTCAGTACTGCTAAAGCGTTCGGAGACACGGTCGAAGGTCGACACACCATTCCATCACCAACCTCATGTGGTGGTTAGTCGGAATGGGGACCAAGTAGTGGTTCAGGCACCAGATGGGAAGCTTGTGCGGAGGAACGTACAGTTCACCAAACCATTCCGGCAGCAGCGTCCGGCTGAACCTAGCCCCGAAGTGCAGGAGGCACCCCAGCATCGTGCGGAGCCCCGCAGGTCAGACAGGTTAAGCGTGAAATGCTAAGGAACCTGTCCAGCCCTTGTTCTGTTCGGCATTGACTAGGCTGTGTGACAGTTGTGTTTGACTGGTCGTTCGGCTAACAATGTATGAGCTTACATTATACTGTATATTTACATATTTTATGACATGGATTGATAGAACGCTTTTGGTTATTCGTCGCGTTTTGGACAGCCTAGTTTGGTATATTTAGTTTGTTGAAATGCTACGTTGAAGTTTGCTATGGTCAGTATTTCTATGGACTGTAGTTGTAGACTTTCGAGAAAAGGAGGAATGTGATGTTGCAGGCCTCCTGGTTAATACTATATTATAGTATTGTACTATTATAGTATCTTGTACGATATTTATATGTGTATCTGTTTTGTTCCCTTTCTCTGTGCTTTATGTTCCTGGTTCTTGGTCTTTAGTTTTGTCTTTGTTAGTGCTTTGGTTTGACCAGTTCTGTAATAATAATAATGTCCCAGAACATTACAGCGGGGGTGCCACTTTCGCTTATGCCATTCAGGATTGATGTCTGAAGAGTAATACGATACAATGAAATGACAGAAGTGACGTCAACAAAAGCCGTTAGCAACAACACCAATATGACTAATGGAAAACTTCATCCAAAGTATAAAATAAAATAGAATATGCATACAACATGTCTGGTCAGTCCTGTTAGGTGGGGCGGGCTCCACGCCATGGCTGTCGGTCCGCTGCAATTGTGCGGACTGCGTCAACATCTAGCGGCTGGTGGAGGGTAAGTCCATGCCATGATAACAGTTCCGTCTGCAAGACCGTTACCTAAGTCGTCCGAGGTCGACCCCTGAAGCGTTCAGTGCCCTCGCCGTTGGCCAGGCGAAGATACATATCCACTGCCAACTGTGGAGGAGCAGTTGGGGCCAAACGAAAGATATGGCCAGCGAGACTGTAGCGCTGCCTTGTGATCATCTCGCTGATGGGGACAGCTCCACAGCGCTTATACAGAGTGTCATTGCTAATTCGTTTAGGGTACCGCATGTCGATGATGCTCCTTAGCTGGGTCATGTGGAACGAATCCATTCGCGCGAGCTCCGACATCGGTAGGCCCCAAGTGCCGCAGTTGTAGGTAAGGACTGGGATGACGTAGGCGTTGTAGAGCCTCAGCCGAAGACCTTCACTGATCTGGTGCCTCCGGGTCCAGATCTTGAGGAGTGAGTTGAAGGCGGCGGCGGCCAGTTGACGCCTCCGAGCAGCATCTTCGGCGTCACCCAGAAGGGAGCCTAGTTTGCGGACAGTACGCCACGTTTCTTGGTTCCTATCGGGAAATCGGGCGACTGTGGTATGCTCTGTCTTGGAGGGATTAACGTTCAGGTTCCATCTCGCAAGAACTGCTGGAGCTTGTTGTTCAACTTCACTGAGAAACATCTCATCCCGGCTCACAAAATCAACATCGTCCGCGTATGCGATATCCAGCGGCAGGTCATTGTCCACAGCAGGGCGAGATGGCAGCTCCTGTCGTAGGTCCCGGAGAGCAGCCTCCAGGTAAATGGTGAAAAGCACTGGAGAGAGACTGTCCCCTTGAGGGACTCCGATATTTGTCTTGAAGGAGCTTTTCGATGCACCTTTCACACGAGGTTCAAGCCAGGTTTCAGTCAACAGTATACGGATCATTCGGAGCTCACTTTCTTGGAGGAAGGATTCAAGGATCCTCATCAGGACATCGCGGCGGACAGTGTCGAATGCTCTACTCATGTCAACTCCCAATATGTGGATGGACGTATTGAATCGCTGCGTCATACTGCATAGCCATCTATGGCACCACACCACATCACTTGTGCTGCGGCCACGGCGAAAAGCACTTTGGGATGTAGCCAGGTACTGATCAACCGCTGGCTGTATCCTCTTCAGCACAATCAGGGACAGCGTCTTTCTCAAAGCCGAGAGCAGTACGATAGGGCGCGTACTAGTAAGCGGCCCTAGTGGTTTACCGGGCTTCTGCAGCAGTATTAGGGTTCCTCTGCCAACTTCAAGTGGGTCATGTGTCTCAATAGCTCGGTTCAAGATGTCGGAAGTCATCTCAGCGACAATGGGAGGACTGTACTTGAGTGACTCTCCGGAGAGATGGTCAGGGCCTGCCGCTCTCCCGTTATTCAGGCTTTGGAAGGCCCTCCTAACTTCGGACGATGTGATTTGATTGGGGAGAGGGCTGGGATCACCTAGGAATTGTGGAATGTCAGGGAGGGATTTATCATGGAATTGGCTTTCATAGTGTTTGATGATCAACGCCTGCTGGTCTGCAGGGTTGATAACGACCCGCTGCTTCTCATCGTGAATAACAGGCTGGCTGTACGGTTTTCGCTTCAGTAGCTGGACAGCACTGAATATCTTTGCCCCACTATCATGCAGTCGCTCCACTTCCTCTGCTTGACGATCCAAGGCTCTCTTGGCATTGTCAGATGCGATATCACGAATTTCATGCATTGTGCGATTTCTTTGATTTTTTAGTGACTGTCTTTTCTGGTCATCCTTGCACTCTCCAATCGCCAGGCGAAGATCTTTCTGCTTGCGTGACAGCAACTCAATTTCAGGGGAGAAGTCATGGCGGTGATGTTGTCTCTGCTGAGTGCCGGCCGAATCCAGTGCTGATTTGCTGAGGACTTCAGATAAGGATTCCCAGACTGCTTGGGTGCTGTTGGCTTCTGATGACACGCTGCACTGGACCTGGGTCTCCACAGTTCTCTTGTAGGATTCCCGAATTGCGACATCTGAAGCAAGCTTTCCAGTGTCAGGGCGGATGTTGCCGGCAGTGGTCTTGCGTTGGTGCATACCCAGAACACCATAGAATCTCGACATGTCCAGTCTTGCCACAACTAGGCGATGGTCGGAGAATACATATGTTCCCGCATACGACCTTGCGTCTGTTAGAAGGGGACTCTGGTTCTGACGGCAGCAGATGTAATCTATCATATTGTAAACAGGAACACCGGAATTGTCACGGCAAGGGCCTTGCCACGTTGTTTTATGTCTAGCGCTGTGCTGAAATGCTGTGTTGCCAGCGAACAGGTTGTGAGCTTCAAGGAAACTAGCAAAAACTCCACCACTCAAGTTTCGTTGACCGCAGCCATGGCGTCCAAGAAAGGACTCGCCACTTTTGCGTATCCCTAGCTTCGAGTTGAAGTCACCAGCTACGAACAATAATCCACTGGAAGCGTAGTCAGTCACGGCGTTCGCCAAACTGTCAAAGAACTCACTTTGTTCATCCGGGCTTGCCCGCAGCCGTTCTGTTGTTGGACCGTAGGCGTTGATGACCGTCAACGATGATTTTTTGCTATTGGGAAATTTGAATTGAATACCGGCCGCTCTGTCAGAAATACGCCAATACCGGCTCATACAGTCCTTGAGGGCGCCTCTAACGGCAAAGCCCATACCGTAATGCCTGCACTCTGACGGCAGGCAGATGATTCTCGTTCCGTTGCCCAGCGTTTCAACAAAAGAATTTACTATTTTCGTTTCTTGAAGACAACAAACTTCGACTCGGTACCTCGCGATATCCCGAGCAAGCTGCTCCCGCTTCACCTGACTAGAAATACCTCTAACGTTGAAACTTCCTATTGATATATTCTTTAGACCAGTCCTGAATGAAGAAGACATTCTCCTTTCGCGAGAGAGCGGAGTCACCCAACTCAACCTACCTTCACCCAGGTCAAAAACATACAAAAGCAGAAAAATATGCTCGAAATATGCTCGAAATATGAACTGATATCAGTGATAATTATGCGAATTCTTTGCTCCTTGTAGCAAAATATGCTACATTTGCTACTTTATGCGACCTTGAGTCGCGGACACTCTCTTCTCGGGTCAAATTTTCGCCCCGTGTTTGGATGAGCATTTTTCCTTCCGGGCTAAGTTTGGAAGTGTTCCCTGACCGAGCGTGCCGTAGTAAGTTTCCTTGTCCATTTCCGCAATCTGCCCTATAATTATGCGAATTATTTGCTCCTTGTAGCAAAATATGCTACATATGGTACAATATGCTAGATTTGCTACTTCATGCGACCTTGTGTCAAAAGGACCAAAATATGCGAAAACATGCGCAAGCATATTCGGGCCCTCCCTAGTAACTGTTAACCACTGCAACAAGATACTAGGGAGGTAGGTCAGGTCGTTGTATGCTTCAGTTGTCTTGTTACAGTGGTGGACAGTTTCTCATACTTCGTACCATATTTACGATTCCTCGGATTTACTTTACGAACCTACTCGTGTGTTAAAAAAAGATTATAACTACGTGTATGTGTTTATAGTGGTCCTATTCTGTCAAATTTGTTTTGCGCCAGGTTCCGCGTGAAGATGAGAGCATTGCGTGAGTGTGCTCCAAAGTTCAACCGCGGGCGTACATCACTCCGTCTAACACAAGTCCAAGCAATCGGTTTCAATGGAAGGCACTCAATCTGCAGAATGAAGAGGTCCCAGCAATCGACGGCAGAAGCAGAAACGACTTGAAGGGGCAGGCCGCTAAAGCAGGCAATCTGTCCAACTGGGTCTCGAGCCGTATGATGGATTGGGTCCAGCGGATAATGCTCCGAAAATGTTCGTATAATGCTAACCATAATGCTCCAAAAACTGCCTTATAATGCCGATTATAATGCTTCGGCAAGGGATATAATGCTCTTCGTTTGGTACAAAAATGGAAGAAAGTCTGCACATTGTCAAACTTCCAGGAAATTATACATAATTATCGTCGATCTGCATCTGAAGCTGCCACCTTATCTCTCACGAGCTCCACCACTTTTTAGCACTATAAGACATGATCGCTTCTCCATTGATTGCTCTCTATTCCAACTTTGATGCAGGGTTGTGGCAGAATAGCCGGTGTATCAAATCTTTCCCCTAATTATCCATGTAGTGAGAGATGAAACCATTATTGCAGGTAGTCAGTCATTGATGAAGTTAATCTTGGCAAATAGTATTCCTGCCTGCAGACAAGCTGCCACTGCATCCACTGTGTGAATAATGTCTTCATCTGAAACACCAGACGTGAGGCCAGCTCCTGAGATCCGATCTCAGATGGAGAGCCCTCCCATTTGCGGAAATCTTGAAAACACGTGGTCAGAAGTTATTTAGCCACTCTACATCCTTTGCTTGTGCTCTCATCTTCTCCTTGAGATTGTGTGTAGACGTATGGCTTGCCACTATAACTTTACGTGCTTCCGATGATCAGGAAAGTAAGACAGGCGCTGCTGAGCAATCGACTTGGTCTGAGTCCATGAGAAATTCTAGTTCTTTTCGAGCCTCCTGAGCTGGACTCGGCAAAGGCAGTTCTTTTGGAACGAGCTTCTTCTATAGCAGCTCCTTCATCCTGGTCCAAATTTAGCAATGCATCAGTGTCTACTTCAGTATCGCTAGAGATGCTATCGCCAGAGCCTCTGGCACAACTAGAAAACTCTTCTTCGTCTGTTTGATATTCACTTCGCGTATGTCTCCTCCATAGCTCTCCATTATTCTAAAAGTAAAAGAAACCTCGTAAATAATTTCTCCGGATTTGTGTCACTTGAACTGCCTCGGCCTCGGTTGGGCATGCTTCACAAATGGCTTGTATACATTTACCTGCCCACATCGCTACAATCATAACGTTTTTATGTAGCAATAGTTATGTAGCGTTAGTGCTAAAGGTGTTACTTGTCTACGCAATCACAAAGTCATGCACCGGCACAATGCATAGTGCTCAAATGCCCGGAATGGGCGGAGCGTAGTACGCAAGAGGTACACAAAAGGGGTAAAATAGGGCTGTTTCGTTGTTACTCAGAGTTTCATGGCAAAAAAAACAATCATCAGACAACATCAGAGACTCTCATGATCATGATTGTAGCCGATTGTTGCCAAAAACCTGGGATTTCCCTATATATATTATTATCCACTATGAAACTCGTTATGCCGCTCAAACCTCACAGAATGCTCGTTTTGTTCCTTTCTAATGCTCCATAATGCTCTGATGCTCGGATAGTCGTATAATGCCGATTATAATGTCGGCATTATCCGCTGGACCCTAATGATGGAGATGGCAGTGCTGAAAATACGTCGTGTGACTTGTCAGGTCACAGATACCAAGGTGACCAATGTCCAAAGTAGTACCTGGTGCTGAGGATGGCCTTTCCTATCAGTATGGCGACATTATAGGTCGTGTACGTGTCCTGCACATTGTCATGTTACAGATTTAAGGTGTGGAAGATATTCAATTTCTCTTGTTGGGCTTGTGAAAATGCGAATTGAAGTGCAGGCAATCTGTCCATATGGGTCTCGAGCCATATGATGGAGCTGGCAGTGCCGGAAATACGTCTGTTACACGTTGACCGAATACTACACCATCTCATCATAATTATAACTTTGCAATCAGCTGGTGGCCCGTGGCAGTGCATAGAAATCGACTGGAGTCTGACATTACGTGGCATCGTATTGGAGTGTTGCAGCAGTACTTTCACGGAATACATCACTTACTGGACACCATTCACTGGGAAGTATTCCTTGAAGTTTGAGGAAAAGCTGCAAGCGGCAAAAGTCTGAAGACAAGTTGACTGTCACTACCAGGGTTCGGACCTTCCTCGCTGATGACCAGCGATACTCTATCACTAAGCTATGGTGCTCCGGATGGTAGTCATGAGTCAGTCACGTGTCAAGTTCTGCATAAAGCGTGTGTTCCTCTTACTAGTCTTAGGAACAACCAACTTCATAATTTTAAATAACTAATAATAACGACAGCGACCGAGGCGGTACTGTGGAGAGAACTTATCACATCTGGGTTTGCTTTTTTTTTTAAGCTAGGCAATAAGGGAATAAGGCAATGAGAATGTTAAAACAACACTATGAGCCATAAAGTTCACAGCGAAGAGAGCGGAAAGCGATTGAATTCTCACTTGAATGACTCCCGGAGAGATGGTAATATGCAGCCATAAATGTCAGATTTGCGCACTATTTCTTAGATTTTGTTGTTCCTGTTTCCTGCAGTTCTCTTTGCTGAGCTTGTTATTAGTCAGACATAGAGGAGCAGAGGCAAATCACCTGGGAAGAGACAAACAGCAATGATTGGACGTAGCGATGGCGGGTTGGCTGACGCCAACTATGATGATAGCCAGGCAAACTTTATCAATGTGGAATCTCCCGCAAGGGATGTGCAATCTTTCTCATTGCCACTGGAGCAGTATTCGTCATCTCCTGATGACATGATCAAGCAGCCCACCATGCCTGCACACACAGTGACACCATCACCAAGTGAGGGACTACCCGCCAGAGAACGCGCGTCATCAAGTGAATACCTCTCCAAGCGTGGTACGATGCCCAGCGTGGCTCCAGCAGCGGCACCACCATCGCCCCAACAGCTGAGAGTATCAGAAAACAAGAAAGAAGCAAACGAATGTATCGTCAACAGACCCTGTACCACCAGTAGTCGCAGTATGACCGGCAGCCACAAAGGCAGCAGCGGCGGCGCTAGCAGGAACACAAGTGGCAGGAGAAGCAGCAGCAGCAGCAGCAGCAGTGACAATGAAAGTGACAGGATAACATCTGCAGATAGATTACACAGTCATGGGCATCCTGGTCATCCCAGTCACCACACTCATGCCAGCCGTCCTGTTCATCGCGCTAATCCTGCTAATCCCAGTCTTCATCCCAGTCTTCATCCCAATCATCCTGGTCATCACACTCAGCCTGGTTGTCCTAGTTGTCACGTCACAATGGACACGGTTGAGAGTCTGCGACTTGATAATGAGATGATGGGCGAACAATTGAAAGAGCTTCGAAAAGCGAATTCTTTCTTTTGCGACGCACTGGCTTCATGCCAGGCAATACTGGAGACTCTGCATCGAGTCACAAAACGACATCGGGAAGAGTCAAACTATATTGGAGCAATGCTGGATGGAGCCAAGAGGAATCTGGAGGAGCTCACGGCAGCCATGGAGAAGCTGCAAAGCGAGCGGGATACACAAACGGGTGGAACTGGTGGTGTGCAAACAAGCCAACATGGCTCCCCGACCCTACAAGCATCACTTCCTCAACTCAACGCTGAGAAAACCAGACAGCTGCCTTCCAGGTAAGATGGTATACTGGTCCGGTGCATGCGTGTATGGCTTAGATTTCATTAAAATACTGGTGTTGGACAGGTTTTGCAGTCATAGCTACACCTAGACCTGTCATGTGATTAAAGAGCCACATGTATCTCCAGACTTCTCATAATGATCACGGCTGTAGGCAAACCTGTGTCGTGATCCTACATGTACAGTCAATCTTGTCATGGGTAATTCTGCTAACACTTGAATGTGATCGCCACAACGATAGCCAGACTTGCGCATGATTGTCATAGCAACAGGTGGACTTGGGCGTGATGACCATAGTGAGAGCTGTACTGTAGCTGAACAATCTGAAGCAGGCATAATTGATTTGACCGAGAGTCGGAGCCCTGTTCACACACTGCATAATACTTGGACGCAGAACTTTCTAATAGCACATTTCGCGTAGTAGAACACTAAATAAAGAAATCCAGTGTTTTTTCCGCTTCTGTCTGGTGAGAAATCATCAGCAAGGTGTAATAGCTGCTGATACTGATTTCTCCTCGGGTGTCGAGCTGCACAGTTTCTTCCAGTTTGTCTTGTCCGCTGCTTGTTGTCGGCACCTGGAAAGGTCTTCCATGGTCTTCATTGGCACACCCATCTTATTCAGCTGAGCGACCAGACTTGTGGCCAGTGTCAACCTTGGCCGTCCACGAGGTGCTTTGTTGCCCTTGTCAAAATAGCCGCTTATGGCTACTTGCGGTGGCGTGTCCGTGTCCATCCGTAGCACATGACCCGTCATTCGTGGTCGCCTACATGCAACTGTGTCTGATACAGGGTGGCTCTTGGTTCTGCGGTATAGGTCGTCGTTTGAGATTGTGTCTGGGTATCGTACTCCAAGTAATGATCGCATTTGACGCCGGTGGAATACGTCCGCCTTGGCCATTGCTGTTGACGATAATCCCCAGGTCTCACAATTGTACAGGAATGTCGGCAGTACGATAGCGTTGTACAGGCGTAAGCGTGTCTTCTCCACTACTTTATCCCTACGCAGCCATAAGGCGTACAGCTGGCCAAACACGCGAGAGGCAAGTTCCATCCTGCGCCGAACATCCTCTTCCTCCCCCATCAAGGAGCCAAGCTGCCTAGATGTCCGCCAGCTCTCGGATTCAGGTGACACACGGATCCACTCTGTTTTATCTAGATTTACTTTTAATGACCAATCGTGCAGTGTGTCTGCTATTACAGGCAGAGCATTCTCAAGCCAAAGCCTACAGGTTGAATATTAGGCGATGTCATCTGCATAGCCCGTCCCTGGTGGTAGACTTGCGTCGCCAGCAGGGCGGGGCGCGAGACGAGTTCTGCATTCCTGTAGTGCAGCCTCCAGATAGCAGATGGAGAGAACTGGGCTGAGACTGTCGCCTTGTGGTGTTCCGATAGTGCTCTCAAACGGTTCAGCTGTGGCACTTGCAACCTTAATAGTGATAGTTGTGTTGTGGAGTAGGTGGTGGATGAGACATGTGCAACCTGGATTGGTGATTGCAGACACCACCTCCAGTAGCTTCAGGCGGTTAATCGTATCGAACGCCTTGGACATGTCCAGGCCTAGAATGTGAAATTGCTGTCGGTAACGAATGGCTCTTGCAGCGATCCACCGCTGGGTCCATACCACGTCCGCTGTACTACGGCCCAGGCGGAAGCCGGACTGGGTAGTACCAAGACGACGAGAGAGTGCCCCGGATTCCGTGATGCGCCGAAGCACAATGATCGACATCACTTTGCGGATATAGACTAGTTTAGTAAAGTGATGGGCCGCAGACTGGTTACAGGACCCTTGGGCTCGTTATGCTTAGCGAGAGGTGCATAGGGTGCCAATGCGAGAGCGCAGCGTTGACGAAATTTGCTATGACCGGCGCAAGCACCTCGGATCCATATTTCAGGAGCTCTGCTGGGATTTTATCCAGACCACAATCCTTCCCGTTTCGCAGGCACTTGAGGGCAGTGGCGACTTCAGATTCGGAGATGGGAGTGGTGAGGGAGTGTGGTGATGGCGGTGGTATTTCACCTGCTGTTTTGGCACTGAATTGTGAGGAGAAGTGATCTCGAACATCGACTGGCCTTGTCTGTGGCATGAGCAAGAACACATCCATCAGCTCGCTCGACAATCAATGGTGATCGTTGTCCACTATAACTCTTTAGCTGCGATGCTGCAGTAAACATCTGAGCAGATGTAGGTGCCTTTTCAACCCTCTCTGCAATCCTATCCAGGCGTTCCATGGCATCGCTGCGCTGAGTAGCTCTCAGTGGCGGATCCAGGGGTTCCATGGAACCCCCTAAATTTTGCAAAATGTACTGCTGAGAAATATCGAAAAATTAATAATATTAATTTTTCGATATTGTCATGTGTGTACACAAGGAAGTCTGTCCGATCACACACAGTCAGTGCAGTCACTGAGTCAAGGAGTACAGTACACTGCATACGATAGATCGATACTGTGTGTAGTCCGTACTCAGTGGTGTTCATGGCCGTGATTTACAAACGGACACTGTAGACAACATTGGGTTGTTGTTTCCATTTTGATCTTTCCAAACGATCCAAACTTACCTCCATTGGCGCTGTCATTCACTGCTGCTCTGGATGGGTGTGGTCAGTATTTCTTGGACAAGTTTTTTTCGGAAGAGAAAGGATGTTCCGATTGATTACACTCTTCAATGAACTTCGAATTGTACACGTAGAGTTCAAGCTCCTCATAAGATAAGGGCTCCGAGTCTCAGACATCCTAGCAAAGTCAGTACGAGTAATCTCTACCTGCTGCAGCATGCAGTAGTGGCGAGGTGTTCCTCCGCAGGAACGGAGTGCTGCGCCAGCGATGTGTTTTAGATGACATTGGAAGGATTGTCGACACCGTTTCACTGTTGTTGTTTCTGTCAAGTGAAGGCAATGCTGTTGTCCTGTAATTATAGAGCATCTCTCATCGTAAAAATGCTAAAAATTTCCGAAAGTACAAATGGACAGGGAAAGTTGTCATTTCGCATTTCTGGCTCTCAACGTACCCAATGGCTTGCATAATTATTCGATCTTTACAAGAAGTTGAAAGGGTCTTGAAGCCCTCACTGAACCTGTGTGCCAGTCGATTGCATACATATTATGATTATGTGTCCGTACTAAATGTTACGTATACAATGTAGGATAAGCAGAGGCATTTGGCCCTGTACCGGTTTTCCACCGTCCACCACACCATAACTGCCTTCTTCAGCGCTGGTGGTGTGCTGTGGCAACGTATGAGGCCTGCTGGAGAGCGCAATTATGGTGTGGTCGATGATGGAGGAAAATGTGTCCGTAGTGTGTTTTAAAAGCATGAGATTCCAACTAAAATAATCGGGTTGTCGTAATTACACCCGCACAACTTCAATACAATCTGATTCCATATTTTGGCTGTTCAATTTAGTTCAACCGGAACCCCCCTGTAGAGATGTCTGGATCCGCCCCTGGTTCTGATCTGGTGCATGATGCAGTTCCGCTCCCTCTTTAGCTCTTCTGGATTGTGAAGGCCTGATTGGTGAAGTAATATGATTTCCCTTTGGCGCCGCGAGAGGGTTTCAACCTCTGGATTAGGTACACAAACCCTGCGCGATCCGCTTCTGTGCATGCGTCCAAGAGTACTCTCTGCCACGTCGATGACCGCTTGCGCTGTTGAGTTCCAGGTACTGATCACGGAGCCACTGTCAGATGACCCACAAAATGCAGGTTGTTCATGTGATGACCCTGCGCACACAGTAGTGCTCATAATTAGGCCCCCGTGTAATATGGCGGCATTGTTTCTAGCATTTTCGGTACAATCCGCGAACCCAGCACTTTGGGCTCGTGATGCAGCATTTTGGGGGAAACGGAGCACTTGGCCGCTGTGTATCAAAATTGAGAGAAGTAAAACTTCCCAAACAAGAACGTCACTTCCGCATTACGTGGGTTAGCTTCTTATTAGCTTCTTGTTGAGTAGTTTATGAATTGAAAATAATGGTTTTGACCACGGAGTCGTAAAATACCGGTATTTTCTGACTCCGTGGTTTTGAGTCTTTTGACGGCGTGCGCTGAGGATTACAAAAAAGCGAGCATTTTCCGAGCATTTTCGGCAAGGTTTGGGAGCATTTTCGGCAAGGTTTACGAGAATTTCCCAAAAGCATTTTCGGCAAAGTTTCGGGCATATTACACCGGGCCCTACTCATAATCATTTACACGTAACAGTTATCATGGTTATGTACCCTAATGCTGCGACCATGACTATGCATAATAATTAGAACAGTATGATAGGTACGTTTCTAGAAGATCGAGCCGCGTGCTAGATGTGTTCTACTCCTCGTCATCGCTATTAGTCATGTCCTGCTGGCGCTTCTCAATGTGTTGCCTAGACTCGCCCTGACCACAGAACTATTGTCACTATTCTTGTTGTCTCTCTCTGGCTGGATCGCGTCCAGCTCAGGCAACGCTTTATAACCTAAGTACAGCCATGCTTCGAGGGCTTTTTAGTTATTCCTCTCCTCCGCTCGTATCGTCCGCTAATGCTGTTGCACTTGCTGTTGCACTTCGTCATCCATTACCTGTATCCTAACGGTAAGACGCTATTATCAATATTATTATCATGTGCTTGTTCGCGTAGATATCAGCATGGCCTGCAGACTCTATACATTATGTAACTCACTCTCTCTGTGCTCTGTTGTGGAGATATGGACGTAGTCCGGGTTGTTTTTAGAGTCAGACAAATTGCATGTATCTTGCATGAAGAATCAGGGTTACTAGTTCCGTAGAGAATGCATTTCACCTCAGGGTCCTAACCATAGCCAAGTTATTTGCTTGCTCATTCAGGAATTGTCATAGAAGATCGTAGTATTCACGTATTCCGTAGAGAATGCATTTCACCTCAGGGTCCTAACCATAGCCAAGTTACTTGCTTGCTAATTCAGGAATTGTCATAGACGATCGTAGTATTCACGTGAGATCTGCCGCTAGGGAATACGGAAGCGGGATCATCACATTCACGCAGTTTCTGGCAGAGGCTGGACTCGTATTCCTTACGGACATCAGCGTTTTCTAGTCTCTGGATTGCGATGGGAGCAGTGGCCTTGCCTGCTGCGGCAGAGTGTACACGGTATAGACCAGTCAGTTTCATTTCCGCAATGACAATTTTATGATCGCTGAATGTCTCGGTTCCAGCATACAAACGAGCTCTCACAACTAGTGGCGTGTAGCGCTTTGGGATCACGATGTAGTCAATCATGTTGTGGATCATTTTCCTGAGGCCATCAGGGGATACCATGCATCCAGTCCATGTGGGTCTATAGCGCATTGAGTAGCGGAAGAGCGTATAGCCAACACCAGATGATGCATGTTAGCCCACTCTACCAGCGCTTGACCATTGCCAATTTCTTACACCGTTGCCGTATTGACCCACATACGCTGCTTCACCTGCTCCGACTTTGCTGTTAAAATCACCAAGCCCAACCACGAGTGTTCTTCCACTGCACTTGTTCCAGGCTGTGGACAAGGCGTCATAGAACCTTTCACGAACCTCAGGATTACTCTGCGCTGCTGGGTTTGTGGGGCCATGTGCCACGACGAAACGAACAGGTAAGGTATTGCCTTTGCCTTGAGGAATAGAGGTCGACAGTTCCGACTCGGTCGGAAATTTGTTTGAAAGTTGATACAAATTTGTTGAGCATGTTCGATATGACAAATCCATTACCTCCATGCCTGTCCTCTGCTCGACCGAAGCTGACAAACCGATGCGACTCACCGAGAGGCTTATCGACGGTCGTTGTCATCTTGAGCTCCTGAAGTCCGCAGAAATCAATACGATAGGCGTCCATGTCACGAGCTAGTTGCTGTTGCTTCGACGCAGAACAAAGTCCGCGCACTTTGAACGTGGCGAATCGAAACCCCCGGGATATCATTTTTCAGAAGAGTTATTGAAAGTTATTGAAACGTTAAATGTCACAAGCTTTGACAATCAGGTAAGAAGAAGAATGAAGAAAAGAAGGAGAGAGAGAGAAAAGAAAGCTAGGCAGTCAGCCCAACACCGAATTAATTAACCGAATTAGAACTTTCTAGCACATTTTATTGTGCTAGAAAAGTGCTGAAACTGTTGCCTGATGCATGATTTTTGATGGAACCATTGAATTTCAGCTCCATAGACACCCTACATGGGATGTTACCGGGTGATGATAAGATGTCCTTACTGGGGCAATGTTCTGTGTCTGTGTTGGAATATCTGCCTTCTGCTCCCGTGTGGGGGTACGCAATAGGTCACAGCCATATCCAGCATCACGGTCGGCTTACAAGCAACTTCCGAGCGCTCTTTCAGCATCCCCGCAAAGATCGTATTTGCGAGAGAGAATCAGCACACAACCGCCACTGCAAGCCAATAACTATGAGAGTGAAGACGATCACAATCATATGTATTCTAGAGGTGAAGCTGTGTCTCCACCGTCGCAGGCGCGCCGAGCACCAATCGCCATGCAGTTGCCAGCGCCATCACCACCTGCAGCTCACCGGCCACACTTGTTATTGTTGCCATCCGCTACCATGGATTATTGCGAACGTAATAGCCCAGTGCATGCCATTGATGAGGTTAGCAATGTGTGGGTAAATGTCAGAAATAGATTCAGGGCAACTTCAGGCACAAGGTTGTTTTCTCATTTCCCCTCTTTGATAGATGCATATCTGTAGGAGCATATGATCTCAGTTTCCCTGTACAGCTACATCTGAGTGTTATTCGCAGGTTGAGGTATGCAAAAATGTAAACAAAAAAACATGGCAGGACACATGGGCACAAGTTGTGAGCAACTGTCCACCACTGTGACAAGTGAATAGAGCGATCAGAATAATTATGTGATTACTTGGCACAAAACTGTCAAACTACGAAAGACATTCAACGATTTGACAGCTACCGCCAACACATCTCCTATGCGCAAAACAACAGCCTTAACACTTGGAAGGCTCATAGTTATGAGTTCGGGTAGGAACAAAGAGGGGAAGGTGAGCACAACGAAAATGTGCAAATGCTAAATTTTCACTGTGCAACAAGGAATAAGCAAAGTAGATGAATAGCAGCATTTTGGCTCTCAATTGTCCCTAAGCCTTGAGTTCAGGTGTTGTTCAAACTTCGTTATGGAACATATGGCACCCTACCTGTATTCCGATTGGAAAACATTCTGAGAAGAAGTTTGTTGAAAACCAAGAAAGAAATTGGTCATTCCCCATCTACTCCCAGACAAAGTCTATCTCTCTGACGTCACAGGGAGGCTCTATTCTGGGCAAGATTATCATGATACCAAACAATTTTAAAACTTTAAGCTGTTTTAACTCGGGAACAGCTGCTCCCGTCAACACGGAACATTCACAGTTCGGATCAGTGCATTTTCGCTACAAAACTTCCTCTTTAAAGGGGAAGTTTAGGCAAAAATTTAAATTTCACCAGTCGTAGTCTTCGGGGTGCTGAGTCGAATGGTCTTAGTCCGAAAAAGCTGAGACGCTCCCTTCTTACTTGAATCCCCATCGAACTCGCGCACTTCCACCGAAACTGGGTGACTGCGCCCTACTAGATGGGGATTTGTATGCAAAATGTCACTAAAAGCGCCGTTTCGTTCTTATAAAAGCACGGATGCCCGCGATTGGCCCATATGTTGTAGTCTTTTGGACGCTGAGTCGACTGGTTTTGGTCCGAAAAGGCTGCGATGCAGCGTTCCTCCTTTATTCCCAATCGAACATGGTTGAACAAGTGGTCACGTGCTCCTGGGTGCCCAAATCACCTGGTCACCACGCCAGCAGGCGACAACTTTCACACCGAGGTTCAACTCGAGTTCAACTCGAGTGACAGGACTGCACCCAAAAAAGGTCAAACAGGCTAGTAAGTTGTACCCTGCAGGCACGGTGACCAGCTGACTGGTGTACGCAGGAGCACGTGACCGCTTGTTCAACCATGTTCGATTGGGAGTAAAGGAGGAACGCTGCATCGCAGCCTTTTCGGACCAAAACCAATCGACTCAGCGCCCAAAAGACTACAACATATGGGCCAATCGCGGTCATCCGTGCTTTTATAAGAACGAAACGGCGCTTTTAGTGACATTTTGCATACAAATCCCCATCTAGTAGGGCGCAGTCACCCAGTTTCGGTGGAAGTGCGCGAGTTCGATTGGGATTCAAGTAGGAAGGGAGCGTCTCAGCTTTCTCGGACCAAGACCATTCGACTCAGCCCCCCCGAAGACTACAACTGGTGAAATTTTAATTTTTGCCTTAACTTCCTCTTTAAGATCAAACTGTAAAAGGACACATGTGTAGGTGTCATGAGCAACTGGTTACCACTTCTCAATCTTGTACAATTCGTACGACATGACATGGAGCGATTATTGCAATGTTCAACATCGAGCGGCGCAAATCATAAGGCACGGTTATTGCAATGTTCAACTTCCCTCCGTGATGACATTAATAAGAAGCTACTTCAAGTAGGTGCTTTTAGGCGAGGCAGAGACAACTTGGACAGTAAGGCCCGCCGAGCTTTCTATCTCGGAGTTATACAGAGCAAATTAGAGTACGCAAGCACATCATATGTTTATTCATTACACGCTGCAGAATACGATAAGCTTCTAGGACTGAGCCGCCGAGCTGTTCGTGTTGTATTTACCTACCCTTCCCGTGCTGACGTTGAGCCCATTTTGCGTTGTCACAACCTCCACCCACTCAGCCTACGCCTCACTCTTAAGCTTTTCATTTTTACTTTTCGGTGCATCAGGTCCCTTGGCAGTCCCCTCATCTCCCAAATCTTTACGACCCGAAATGATGCTACCCACACTACCTCCCAAACCAGAGGCCAAACAGCCAGTAGTCTCTTTCTCCCCCCCCCCCCTCCCCCATTCATGTCCCGTCCAGACCTCTACAGTCTCTCATTTCTTGGTGCTGACCGCTTTAATGCACTACCCGCTATCATTCGATCCCAGCGTACTTTGCCTGCTTTTCGCGCTAGCTGCTCACAATTTCTCCTTGGGCACCCTGTAGGCCTGTTGGGTATACCCAAGTAAAATAATAAATACTACTACTACACTACTACTACTACTACATCGAGCGGCGCAAATCATAAGGCACGGTTATTGCAATTTTCAACGTCGAACGGCGCAAATCATAAGGCACGGTTCGTGACGGGGTGACGTTTTGGCCTAATTTTTTGTTTTCCAGGATTTCTTTTCGATTATTTCTCCTTGCATGAAGCGGGATCAAGTTCGTAATAGCAGTTTTCATAAAATCCAGAAAACAAGCCCGAGAAGTTGTGCCATTCCAATGAAACGATAAAACCATGTGCCCAACTCAGTGAAGTCTCTTCTGAGTACGATGGAGATGGTTGGCAGTTTTGGAGCTCCTGCTCCGGCCTCCTTTTCTTTTAGGATTGAGAAGGACTGGTCTGCAGACCACTTGTTTTACGCCAAGGCGCTCAAGCAGAGTAAGGTAGATATAAGTCAGGTCTGCCAGGTGGACCTTCAGGGCAAGCCTGGACATTGCGTAGTTACAGTGAACAGTTCTGCTGAGCGGGAAAAAATACTGGACGCAGGAATCCGGATTTCCGGTAAGCAGGTGCTCTGCGAGATTTCCGGGGTGGACTTAACCCATCTGCATGTGTTTGGGTGCCCTGTCGGGCTTCAAAACAGTAAATTGTGTGCTGCGCTGGGCCAATTCGGCCGAATTGTTGGGTCGCCTCAACAGAAAAAAGTATTGTTTGAGGGATTGGAAATAAGTACTGGCACCCGTGTTCTCAGCCTGGTCCTCCGATCACCAGTTCCATCTACGGTTACCGTAGGTCAGTTGAAACTGCGAGTATGGCACCGTAGCCAACAGCAAACATGTTGGCGCTGCAACAACAGTGGCCACGAGGCTAAAGCATGTCCCAACCGTGGGGCACATGCAGCTTCCCGGCCTCCACAAACGCAGCACCGCAACACAACCGGTACGAGTACAAACCCTCCCCCCAGCGTCAGTACAGCCACTAATACGGGTACGGCGACTACCCAGCCCGCAGAAGCCGCTGCAGAGCCAGCTGTCGTCAGTGTGGAGACAGGTGCAGCTAGCAACGCAGGGCTGAACACTGCCTCAGTCAACAGCTATCGCCAGGCACTTTTAGCCAATGGGACCAGCACTGGCACAACTGATACCAGTAACCATGTGCTGGCTTTCAGTCAACCTGGAGACAAAGAAAAGAGCAGCGGGACAACCCCCTCTCCTGATGAAGAAGGCTTCAGATGTGCAGCAGGCAAACACACCTTCTCCGCCACTGTCTTATCCGGGCGCACTGAACCACCTGCCTCTGCCTTGAACGACCCGCAAATTGCGTGGGCTAAGGAGTATTCAAACCGTGAGCGCAAGAAGCTGGCAGAGAGAGTTGACGCTGCCCGCAGAGGAAGCCACTGAGTAAGTACTCGTTGAAAACTGTCCACATTCTATGAACCCAGCCCATCTATTGCTCTATTTGTATATACCGTTTTCTTCTGTAAATTATCTCCTCCTGAACACTCATGCCGCTGAACCCTCTTGCCAAACCCTTCTCCCCTAGGAATCCTGCCACTCCGCATGCACAGTCACCCTCAGTACACCCTCCACCTACCCAGACCGCAGCGCCTCTCAAGATCGGTGCCATAAACATATGTAGCCTACGGTACAAGCGTGCAGAAGTAGCTGCCCTCATCCGCGACCGCAGCTACGATGTCTTGGGTATCTCGGAGACGTGGCTGAGTCCCGAAATTGCAGACGGAGAACTTAGTATCCATGGTTACAATTTACACCGTAATGACAGGCACGGCCGGATGGGTGGTGGGGTCTGCTTTTATTACCACCAAGACCTTCCTATTCGAGCCCGTTCTGACCTTCATTCCGACAAGATCGAGTCTGCTTGGTTGGAAATAAAAGGTCCACTTGGCTGCCACTTGATTGGTTGTATCTACCGTCCCCCCGGGGAATCAGTATCTTACTGGACAGACCTAGAAGCGGTGATCCTGCGTGCCAAGCTGCAATCGGCCTCCATTACAATGGTTGGTGACTTCAACGTCAACATGGACCCAAAACAGCCTGGTCCCCAGCATCACTATCTCAGTGACCTCTGTGCCGCCTATGGCCTCAAGAACATCGTTAGAGAACCCACTCGTGAAACTCCCCGCTGTCCGAATGGTACTATAATTGATCTCATTCTGGCTGACCCTACTCATGCAACTGTAGCTACTGTCGTACCTCTTGATATCAGTGATCACAGTGCCGTGGAGTGCAATATCCAGGTCGATGTTCCCCGGACTACACGGCAGGCCCCAAGGCACATGAGAAGAATCCATAAGATAGACAGTACCGCGTTCCGTCATGATATCTGTGAGGCCAACCTACATGACTTTTCTGACTTCAATGATGTAAATATCATGTGGAGAGAATGGCATGCCAAGTTTATGCACGTTATGGATAAGCATGCCCCCCTATGTAACTCAAAGCCTCCCAGACAGTCCACACCACGGTGGGTAGACGCAGAACTACACAGGCTAATGCAGCGAAAACGTCGCATTCATAAACGTTGGAGACAGGACAAAACGAATGGAAATCTTCAC